ATTGTGTCATTGCAATTCAAACAATGCTACTTGAAAAAGCCATTAGCATGAGTTTAACTAAAAAGGTACAGGAACATTTACATCACCATAATCAAGAAGCAGATACCTTCTTACATAATTATGATTTCTGTTTTATCTGTTGGTCAGCATATTGATGCTCATCGGTATGAGAAATAATTCTTATTGGAAGGATGCAGCTACTCTTTCAAATACATTCTGGGTCAGAACTTCACATCAGTGGTGCTTCATGTAGCAGAGGACATTCTGTCAAACCTGAAGAAGGGAGGCATTGCTTAGAGTTTACACTTAATACTTTGAATCTGGTTTAATTGTAGATATATATTCTCAGTACTTATTAATCTACACGAATTGTACCGCAGGAGATTACCCCTACAAGTCCACATGGCAGAATTTAGCAGAAATTAGCATTCTAATTTCAGTCCTATTAGAATGTAAAATATGACTTGGAACATCTATTGTCTGCATCCTTTTCTCAGTGTGAGAAGTCAAGCTTTATTTGCGGTATCTGCTCATGCTCCAGAACAGAGATGACCTCTTATCTGCTTTAGAGCATGACTGAACTTTTCTAATGTATTACACATAACTTTTTTGATATAGTTCTTTGGACCAACAGAACCGTGTTTACCCATTTCCCAATGAATTAATAGTAAATATTTATATGCCTGTTTTACATTTATATTTGTGTAATGTCATTGATGTTGTTTCTTCTGCTGATGGATGTTTCATTGCTACTTTGAGATGTACAAGTTCTCTGTGTGGATGTTACTGGAGTCTGGTCTGACAATCAGGTATCCTGCAGTAAAAACTTTTGTCTGGTAGTGGCTAAAATTTATCTTTTCTCCATGAAGGTTTTCCCATAACTATTTAGATGAATGTGATGAGGGTTAGCATGAATAAAATACATGTTTCTAAATTTTTAGCACAGCATGGACAAAAGGAACTTGAATTAAGATTTCAGAATACCAGTTAATGGATGGAAAGTTACTGGAAGAAAATGATGTTTGTCAGATATTGGCCAAAACATTTAATAGAGTTCATATTCCAGGCACATACTGTCATCTAATGTCACTCAACATTAACACAGAATGAGCACTGTAGGATATCAAATATTATCATTTATTCAATTTATCACAGCCCAGAAATGGTCTTCTAATACAGCAACAGAGAGATGCAGAATTGACAGTGATCTTCCAGTACAATCAGGTGAGCTATGGCAGCATTCTTTTCCAGTGAAGGAGGTAGCTTCCACTCATATGTGATGGTAGCCTATGAAATCCTGTATTCTGAGGGCTTAGAGAAGCCAGGTGAAGCCAGGCGCGGGTGGCTCACACCTGTAATTCTAGCTACTCAGGAGGCTGAGATCTGAGGATCACGGTTCAAAGCCAGTCCAGGCAGGAAAGTCCGTGAGACTCTTATCTCCAATAAACAACTAGAAAACTGGCAGTGGTGTTGTGGCTCAAGCGGTAGAGCACTCACCTTGAGCTGAAGAGTGCAGGGAAAGTGCCCAAGCCCAGAGTTCAAGCCCCATGACTGACAAAAAGAAAAAGAAGAAGAAGCCAGGTGAGGCTGCTGGCCTTGGCTTTGTGCTGTCTTTTATAAATTTCTCTATTCACAGGGAACATTGGAGGCCTGAGAGGTGGCTCTGTACATAGTTTGGCTTGGGAAATCCTACTTTTACCTGACACAATACAATCGTAGTACCTCAGATTTTTTCCTGTTTGCTAATTCATCCATTAGACAATGTTAGGAACTCGTCTGAACATTTATGTGCACAAATCCAATCAACAGCTTTAACAAACAACTTCATGACTTGGGAGTGTGCTTCCCCAAACACTTAGAATATTTCTTTCTCTAGAAAACCTTCTGAACCCTTTCCCATTTTAATGGTCCATTGAGCATGTGACTTCATAGATACCTCAGGCCACAAATGTATGTCAATGTCCCTATCCTATATGCTATTTTATCACTGACAAGTAGAAATGTTTTGTAAGAGAAATTATTTGAGCCTGTCTTTTGTAAATATATTTTATTATCAGATATTTATAAAATATTTATCTTAACTGGCTTTATGTTTTATTACATGACTTCTCTTTAATAACTGCTCAATTTCTTCTCAGGTTCCCTACAATATCTGAAATATACCTGCTGATCTTACCTTTATGTTTTTTCAGAAATTATTTGGCTTGCATTTTTCCTCCAAATAAATATAAAATAGGACTTCATATTGTAAAGTAGATTACGTTCTTGGAAATTGAATAATTCATTCTGTCTACACAATTTTCAAAAGCAACCATCTGATGGATACAACTTTCAGATAGGAACCAAAGTTTTTGTTCATTTTTTATTATATCATAACTGTGTATCTATGGATTCTGCTGTCATTTTACTCAATCCAAGTATTTTACATAGTTATGTTTTTCCCTTATCACTATGAATTATTTTCCTAACATTGGCATGCTTCCAGAAACTTTCAAATGTTTAAATGAGCATACAAACCATTTTATAGAAATGCATATATTGTTCCCATGTTATGGAATCCTAGGCAGAAAGTCATTACCTGTGCCTACTTCCTGAAAGATTTCTCGTCTGTGCTTCTCTACTGTTTTCAAATTTTCAAGTCTCCTATTAAGATCTGTAAACAATGTTGAATAAATCTTTTATTTGGTGAAAGAGTGCCATGAGATTTCAGTGTTTTGCAGGTGGATGTCTGTATTTTCAGAGGAACCACAGGTTATAGAGGCCATTTTTCAGTAACAGAAGCTGTGTTCAATATTCACTTTTGCAACTATGTGGGTTTTATTGGACCCTCTATTGTATTTTGCTGTTTGTTCTGCCTATGACATGACTCATTTTAATTTTAGTAGTTTTTAGATAATATAGTCATGAAATTATTTTCTGCCAAGGCTATACATCTGAGTCACACTTCTTATAGTTCAGCATCTTCAGTTGTTTGGAGTCTAGGCCTGAGCAAGACGCATAACTCCATGACTTCTACTAGTCTAGTTTAAAATTGTACTAGGAGTCAATGGTAAAGTTAAGATCGCGTATTGCCAAATATTGTATTACTACTTGTTTATTCCACATAGCTGTGGTCATTCAAGGATTTTTTTAGTTACAAGCTTTTCATTGTTTTTCTACTCCTTTATTAAATGACCCCAGCATTTAGGTATAGACTCCATAAATATGTCGATAATTTTCACTACTGCGAATATTTTAACAATATTCATTTTCCAGTCTATTTATGGAGAGATATGTTCAGGGATTTCAGTTTTGCTGTCGATTTTACTCTTTGATTTAGGAAATGATTGTTCTTTCATTTCCATTTCCTTTAAGTTAGAGTCTTATTGAGTTGGTAAGTTGAACAAGCTTAATTCTTCTCTTTCTTCTCTTCATCTACTAAGATGTAGTCTTTTCTGGGTCCAACTTATTGTGATTTCTTCATCATCTTTGGTTAGGACTCCTAAAAACCTCTTCTGCGGTGAAGAATAAAAGGATCATCAATAGAATTTTTCATGTTTTTGAAGGTCTGTCTTCACCATTAATATTTCTAAATGATGTGATTACATAAATTTCACATGTTTACAAATATGAAGCCAAAACAGAAACATAGCACCTTATGGAGCTGTTATGCTTTCTCTTTAAGGGATTACCATAAATCAAATTAACTTGCTGATGTATGATAGTATATTAGAAAATTGAATTCTTCTTTAGAATTTTTTTCATTTTTCTTAATTTTCCTTAATATGATTTTAGAAAAGATGTATTTTTCAATGCAAATCTTTCCTGCTGTTTATAACACCTTTAGTTGGTTAATTTTTCTAAAGTTAGTGGTCCTGGAAAAGTGTTTTGAGAAATAACAGTGAATTACTTTTCATGTCTTCCTCCTCAGGAAATTGACTGCCAATCCTCATATTCTATTCACCATCACCAAGGGTTTAAGGAGATACTTTGGAATACTCTAGCTTACTAGCAATTTAGACATTCATTCTAATGGTATTTGTCTGGCAGAAGTAACATGGGGCATTTTCAAAAACGGATAGCTTCAAGGTTGCTTTATATCTTCCCTTGTAGTCAAAGGTCTGGATTTAATTCTCTTTCTATATCATAAATAGGGGAACATAAATTTGGATGCAGAATAAAGGGAAATTAGTTCTTTTTCTATTTGTCAATGCATCTAATTTTCCATCGTTTCAGTAAGAATTTAGTTCTCCTGCCTACAACTTTTGCTACTGTTCTGGGAGGTGTTTTTTTCATTAATTTACTTTTTCTGAGAAGAGGATTATTCTCATGTGTGCTCTTGCTTTCAATGATTCTCTCTCTCACAGCGTAAGACATTAACTGAGTAAGGTTATCCTGCAACAGAAAGAAAGAATATCAACTTTAGCATGATAATAGGATTTACTTTGCTTCTTGTAGCATTTACAAGAGCAACCTTCAGACATGGACTGGTTGGTTATTTATGAGAAAATGTCTCATGTTTCAAGACCAAGTTATTTGACAAAGGGGAAATGCAAGTTCTCTTTGTTCTCTTATGAGAGTATAAATCTAATTCATGAGAAACACTTTCATGATCTCACTCAGAATGAATTATCTACCTAAAACTCATATTGTGCCAGGTGCTGGTGACTCACACCTGCAATCCTAGCTACTCAGGAGGCTGAGATAAGAGATTGCCGTTCAAAGCCAGCCCTGGAAGGAATGCCCATGAAACTCTTATCTCCAAATAAACACCAGACAAGCAGAAGTGGCTCTGTGATTCAAGTGGTAGAGCACTTACCCTCAGCTGAAGAGCTCAGGGACAGTGCCCAGGCTCAGAATGCAAGCCACAAAGCTGACAAAAAAAAATCCCCAAAACCTCATGTACTAATTCAACATGTTAGGGGCAAAGTTTCAATATATGCATGTTCTTTTCTAAACAAACATTTATTCCCTCACGTCAATACTTAAGATTGAAGATACTTCCTGTGCCCTCTCTACAGCTATAACTTCAACAACTACCAGTTTATTCTAGCTTTGGCTTTTGCTGTTGAAGAGATCAACAAAAATCCTCATCTTTTGCCTAACATCACTATGGGATTTTCTGCCCATTCACATGGAATAAGATACTATGTGCTGTATAGAAGTCTTGTCTTAAGCCTCTCTGGGAAAGATTTTATCCTGAATTATGACTGTAAGAGAGAAAGTCAGACTGTAGTAACACTGACTGGACCAGCAGGCCAAATCTCTTCCCAGTATGCAACAGTGTTGGACCTCTACAGATTTCCACAGGTGAGAACAGGAGGGCTGCTGAGGGATGAAAGCATGACTAGTTGATGCCATTCTCAGGTTTTTGATGCATTTAGAAGAAGAATGTTGAATTAGAAATGCTCCAAATGGATTACCTTTGGTGAGATGTCCGTATGGGCTTGCTTTAGTGTAAGAACAGCCTATAGCAGACCACAGGAATACCTCCATCTCTTACCTGGTTCTTTCATTTTCTACATAGGCCTCAGGAACGGAAGCACTACTAAACCTGGGATAAACAAGCCTTTTTATCATTTCAGGTGTTGCTTAATGCACATCAGGACTAAGGATGTGGTTTATGTCAATCCAATTGCTCACTTTCACATTTTCTTTTCCTTCTAGCTGAACTTTGGGAGGTTTGATCCTGTCCTGAGTGACCATCGCCTGTTTCCTTCTGTCTATCAGATAGCCCCCAAGGATACATCTCTAGCTTTTGCCATGGTTTCCTTGATGGTTCATTTCAGCTGGAAGTGGGTGGGTCTGTTGATCTCAGAAGATGAGAATGGTTTGTGGATGCTGCCCCAATTGAGACAAGAGATGAACAAGCAAAAAATCTGTACAGCTTTTGAATACATACTACCACTTTCTTTCTTTCGTGAAGTAACCGATTATGTATCCTTTCATCAGAAAATTAGAAATTCATTCACAAATGTGGTTGTCATTTACGGAGACAATGAATTCATGTTCAATTTGTTATACACTTATTTCACAACATATTTAAGTCTAGGAAACGTCTGGGTCATAAACTCCCTTAGTACATTTCTGTCTGTGATGAAACATTTTTTGTTACATTCACTCCATGCACCTCTCATTTTCTCACACCACCATGGAGAGATTTCTGGTTTCAACAATTTTATCAAAACTGCTAACCCATCCAAATACCCAAAAGACTATTTCCTTGCTTTGGTGTGGATTCGCTCTTTTAATTGCACATTTTCTGAGTCTAGCTGTGTCACTTGGAAGAACTGTCCAGCCAATGCGTCCTTGGAATGGTTGCCTAGGTACCTTTTTGACATGGGCATGATGGAAGAGAGTTACTATATATATAATGCTGTGTATGCTGTGGCTCAGGCCCTTCATGAGATGCTTATTGGTCAAGCAGAAGCACAGCCAGTGGGAAATGGAAGAAAACTTCAGTTTTCCCCTTTCCAGGTGAAGGATTTGCACTGGCAAGTAAATGCTATCAGCAAACTGACATTGTAAGAGGGATTCATTCAAACCAAACTAGGTAGTCAAGACAGATTTTGTAAAGGACCCAGTGAAGCCTGGCGCCAATGGCTCACACCTAGAATCTTATCTACTCAGGAGACTGGCTGGTGGTTCAAAGCCAGCCCAGGCAGGAAAGTCCTTCAGAATGTTATCTCCAATAAATCACTCAGAAAACTGGGAGTGGAACTGTGGCTCAAGTGGTAAATCTCTAGCCTTGAGATGAAAAGCTCAGGGACAGCACCCAGGCCCACATTTCAAGCTCCGGTACCAACAAAGAAAAAAATAAGGAGAGAGAGAGAGAAAGTGAGGTTATTCAGCTTAGCTATCTGTGATGGTTTTTGCTTTTGATTTTTTTGTGCCATCCCTTAGGCTTGAACTCAGGGCCTCGGCTTCTTTTGCTCAATGTGAGTAGTTGACTATTTAAGCAAATACTCTACTTCTTGTTTTTCTTGGTAGGTAATTGGAGATAAGTGTCTCATGGTTGTTCATGTCCAGGCTGGCTTCAAACTAGGATCCTCAGATTTCTGCCTCCTAAGTAGTTTGCATTACAGTTGTGAGCCACCATCACCCAGTCTGCTTTTAAATAGTTTTAAAACTGTGTAGAATTTTACCTGAAAAAACACATTGGCAAGAGTAAATTTTTAATGAATTCGTTACTTATTGTTTTCATTCCAGCTATCTGTAACACATCAGTTCTCACGCTTTCAATTTTGTACTTATTGATTTTGTATTTGAATTTGTAACAGGCAAGCAATAATTAAAATTTTTTGCATAATTGTTCGTATTTAATATAAGAAATACTTTATTTCTAATTGAGGTAGTTTTATAACTTTTTCATTGAATTACACAGTTGAGTTACTCATTAGAAAATCTCTGCCTGTGTAGCCAGGCAGTGGAATGTGTATGATTTGTGATTATTTCAGTGAAGTACTAGATTTTTTATCTTGAAATGTTTTGTTGAACAGTTACTTGAGTCTTAGGATTTATCAGCATTATTTTATATTATTCATCCATAGACCTTCAGTTGTTCTGCTTCATTACTCTGTTATAAATGGATTCTGAAACAGAAATGAACGTCAATGGATCCATACTCTTTCTTCCCATTTTCTGTGTGAACTTTTGACTAACTTCACCCTGGTCGATGTATATCTTCTAGCTCCACCCCTTTCTGAAGAACATCCATTTCAACAATCCTGCTGGTGACCAAGTGATTTTGGATGAGACAAAGAAATTGGTGGCAGAGTATGACATTGTGAACCTTTGCAATTTTCCAGAAGGTCTTAGGCAAGTGATGAAAGTGGGAAACTTTTCTCCATATGCACCACATGGGCATCAACTATCTCTATCCAATGATAACATAGAATGGCCCATCTCATTTACGGAGGTGTGTTGAATCAAACAATGATGATCTAAAGTAGGACTAAATGAACAAAATATCTTGCTAGAATTTATTCCTCTTGTCTTCATCAATAATGCAAGAATGTAAATTACCAACTTCCCATATAGAAATGTTTTTATGAAGCAATTGATTAATGGGTCGATATGGAGCATATTTATTTGCCAAGTTATTTCTTAATATTTTTTCTTATGTATTCCAAATATAAATATGATGTTACAAATCTCCATATCACTGTAACACAGTAACTTTGAAAGTTAATTTATAATGTAGAATGTTTAATTTTATTCATTGTTTTATGTTTCAATTAACAGTCAATTGACCAGTTGTTTCTTATTTTAGATGATTTCCCACCTTAAGAAGAATGGTGGGCTGGGAAGATGGCTCAGTGGTAGAGCGCTTGCCTTGCATGCATGAGGCCCTGGGTTCAATTCCTCAGCACCACATAAGAAAAAAGAAAAAAGTCAGAAGTGGCGCTGTGGCTCAAGTGGTAGAGCGCTAGCCTTGAGCTGAAGAGCTGAGGGACAGAGCCAAGGCCCAGAGTTCAGGCCCCATGACCGGACCCCCAAAAAAAAAAGAATGGTAGTCTGGGAAGGTGGTTCAGTGGTAGAGTGCTTGTCTTGCATGCATGAGGCCCTGGGTTCAATTTCTCAGCACTACATAAGCAGAAAAAACTAGAAGTGGTGTTGTGGCTTAAGAGCGCTAGCCTTGAGCTGAAGAGCGGAGGGACAGTGCCCTGGCCCATTTTTTAAGCCCCCTGACCAACCCCCTCCCAAAAAAGAAGAAGAATGGTTACTTAACAGTTCCTACTTTTTCCATTAAGAAGGACATAGGAAGGATTTAAAACACTTTTCTTTGATTATGATATAATATCTGAAATATCATCCTATTGTTTGTGTATATACATATTTATACAAGCATCTATATAGAAATTTTGATTCTGAGTGATCAAAATACCTACCATAGTAGAATTTGAGGATATTATGTATAAGTAACCTGTCTGTCATCAATAGTAATCTGCTTTTTTTTAGACTCCTCAGTCTGTCTGCAGTGAGAGTTGTGGTCCTGGATTCAGAAAATCCCCTCAGGAGAGAAAGTCTGTCTGTTGCTTTGATTGTATCCCTTGCCCTGAGAATGAGATTTCTAATGATACAGGTAAGTGTGTAAGCATTGGAGACATTCTCCATATCTCCTTAGTGTTTCTCAATCAATAGTAGACAATAGGAACAATCCACAATAGATAGCATATAGAGACAAAAGCCTTCCTTTTATTAGGTAGGAATTTGCATGTTATAAAAGATAAAATCCTGCCAGAAAAGTCACGACACCTGCAGAGTGATAAAAGATTTGGATAAGTTTTGTGGACCAATTTCCATGTACCTGATATCCATTCCAACAGAAAACATGTTAGAACATTATCTGTAATATGGCAAAATGTATTATGTAGCAAATGTTAAACTCAAGCGGACCACTTGAAATAAATTCTATGCTAAAGTCTAGAAAAATGCAGCATTTTGGGTGAAGCATACTGAAAGAACACATTAATTTGTAAGAAAGGTATATGATCATAGTTTTATTGTTATTAGAACACTCTAGACATATTTGAATACATATTTCAATTTCTAGAGAATGAAGAGTGTAAGGTTCAGAAATTATTTATTTCTACTTTGAAATCATAAGTCATAAGTGTATTTTTTAGAAATGTTATTTAGTACCTATTAAATGATAAAATCATAAGAGAAAATTATTGTTGTGATAGACTTTAGATATTGTCGAACATGAGGTAAAAATTTGGAGAGGACAAAAATAAGAAGTCTATATTGGATGAGAAGACTCACATTATAAAATGTCACTGTTAGCAAAATTAGGGTAGTGAGTCAGGAAAATATCCATCAAATTCCACCATGTTTGCTTTGAAAAGTTCAATGTGTAATTGAGGTGGGGAAATATAGGGAAGATAATGAGGATTATCAATTATATCTGATTCTCTGGAATTTACATATTCAGGTCCAAAATATAATGTATACATTTCTCAGGAAGTATGTGGTTTCTGAAGGAATAGCACAGATTATTACAGATGGTATGTTAATTAGGTGGAGTAGATTGTTCCTTCCATATTTAGATAATGGGAAATGCTTTCAAGAAAATGCTGAAATGTAAGAAAACTTATGAGGATAAAATGATCAGTACTCACATTGAATTGTATGCTTCATAGAATTTGTACTTTGGTTTAGAAAGCAACAACACAGAACACTGGGTTAAGCTCAGCAAATTAATCTCTTGGGAGAAGGATAGAGAAGCAAGGTAACTACTGACATACTGATAGTAATTCCTACTTGTTTACAGATTTGGAGCAGTGTGTGAGGTGCCCAGATCATCAGTATGCCAACACAGAGAAAAATCTCTGCCTGCTGAAATCTGAGAGCTTCCTGGACTCTGGGGACCCTCTGGGGATGACTCTAGTCTGCTTAGCTCTCTGCCTTTCTGCACTTACCACTGCTGTTATTGGGATTTTTACCAAGCACAACAACACTCCCATTGTCAAGGCCAACAACAGGGCTCTCAGCTACATCTTGCTCATCTCTCTCAACTGCTGCTTTCTTTGCTCCTTGCTCTTCATTGGACATCCCAACACAGCCACGTGTGTCCTCCAGCAGACCACATTTGGAGTTGTGTTCACTGTGGCTGTTTCCACTGTCTTGGCCAAAACTGTTACTGTGGTTCTGGCCTTCTCTGTCACTTCTTCAGGGAGAAGGATGCGGTGGTTGCTGGTGTCAGGAATGCCTAACTTCATCATTCCCATCTGTACGCTGATCCAGCTCATTCTGTCTGGAATCTGGTTGGGCATTTCTCCTCCATTTGTTGACACTGATGCACACTCAGAACATGGCCACATCATCATCCTGTGCAACAAAGGCTCAGCCACTGCCTTCTATTGTGTCCTGGGATACCTGGGCTCCCTGGCCCTAGCAAGCTTCACTGTGGCTTTCTTGGCTAGAAACCTGCCTGACACCTTCAATGAGGCCAAGTTTCTGACCTTCAGTATGATGGTGTTCTGTAGTGTGTGGGTCACCTTCCTGCCTGTCTACCACAGCACCAAGGGGAAAACCATGGTGGCCGTGGAGGTCTTCTCTATCTTGACTTCCAGTGCTGGCCTGTTAGGTTGCATCTTTCTCCCTAAGTGCTACGTCATCTTGGTGAGACCAGATAGAAATTCTCTGCAGGGTATACGGGCCAAAACTCGTTCTAAGAGAAAAAATCCATCCTAACATTAAATGTATGTCTTTGTAAAAATCTATTGCATGTCTATACTAGATTTCTCACTCAAATTTTTTTTATATTTGGGAAAATATCTTTAAAAGTAACAGGGATGTACTCATTTTCCTACTTTTATGATGATTATTGCAAGTTGACTCTGTGAGGGTCAACATGAAAGAATTGTCATTATTCAGTTTTCTCTGAATGTATCCTATGTGACTTTGTATATACTTCTTTCCTACCTACTCTTTTTCAATTTTTTATAATCTTTTTAGCATATATTTTTATTGTAAAGATACTGTACAAAGAGTTTACAGTTACATGAGTAAGGTAATGGATACATTTCCTGTGGAACATTGTTACTTCCTCCTTTGTTTTTCCTCTACTATCCCTTCCCTCTCCACCTTCCCATATCCTCCCTCCCTCCCCCCAAGTTCTAAAGTTCATCCCATTGTTATAATGGGATAGTCTATATCCTTATTTCAGTATTTTGTTATTTCCCTTCCCATCACCAAATTAGAAAGATGTATATACAAGATGTAGGCACCAAAATCAAATACAGTAAAAACAGGTGTTGTACCATGGGGAAGAACATACAAAAGAAACAAAAAAAGATCACATGGTACATTGTAAATACATTGGAAACAACAGCAAGAAAGATAAAACCTCTTGTGTCCCTATCTTGAGGTTGATTTTGCTTAACATCAACTTATATGGTCATATGTACATGGTTTTTGATCTTTTCTGCTTGACCTAGACATATATTATTGCAAATAAGGGAAACCGTAGGACCTATGTTTCTTTGGGCCTGACTTACTTCATTTAATAGAAAATTTTCTAAGTCTTTCCATTTCCTAACAAATGGGGCAGTGTCATTCTTTCTGATGGAAGCATAAAATTCCATTGTGTGTGTATATGTATGTATATATATATATATATATATATATATATATATATATATATATCTCACATTTTCTTGATCCCTTCATCTACTGAGGGGCATCTGGGTTGGTTCCATATCTTAGCTATGGTTAATAATGCTGTGATAAACATAGTTGTGCTGGTAGCTTTAGTATGGCCTTGTTTGTGATCATTTGGGTAAATGCCCAAAAGTGGGATTGCTGGGTCATAGGGGAGCTCTATGTTTAGTCTTGTGAGGAACCTCCATTCTGCTTTCCAAGTGGTTGAACACGTTTACACTCCCACTAACAATGAAGTAGGGTTCTATTTTGTCCACATCCCCTCCAACATCTGTTGTTATTAGATTTGTTGTTTATAGCTATTCTAATTTCTTTGCTTTTCTTTTATGACTAGAGAAGTTGAGCATTTCTTCATGTGTCTTTTGGCCATTCTTAGTTCCTCTTCAGAGAAGTATCTCCTTAAGTCTTTAGCCCACTTATTATTCAGGCAGTTGTTTCTTTGAGGATTTGTTGTTGGGGAATTTAAATTTTTGAGTTCCAAGTATATTTTAGATATGAGACCCTTGTCCATTGTATGGCTAGTGAAGATTGTCTCCCAATCCATGGGCTTTCTATTGATCTTGCTAGCTATGTCCTTTACCGTTCAGAAGCTCTGCAGCTTCATGCAATCCCAATTGTCCAGCCGTTTTTTGATTGTTGTGTTTCTGGGTCTTTATTAAGGAAATTCTGCCCTGTGCCAAGGAGACCTAGGGTTTCTCTTATTTCTTCCTGTAATGTTTTCAGGGTATCTGCTTTGACTTTGGGGTCTTTTATCCATTTGGAGTTGATTCTGGTGGAGTGGGAATATAGAAGCCTCTAGCTTTAGTTTTCTACAGGTGTTTAACCAATTTTGCCAACACCATTTATTGAAGAGGCTGTCTTTCTTCCATTCTATTTTTTTTAACTCCCTTATCAAAGATTAGGTGGCTATAGGTCTGTGGGCTCATTTCTGGGTCTTCTATTCTATTCCATTGGTCCTCAGGTCTATTCTTGTGCCAGAACCAAGCTGTTTTGATTACTATGGCTTTGTAGTAGAGTTTGAAATTTGGTATTGATATTCTTCCAGCACTGTTCTTTCTGTTAGGGATTATTTTTGCTACTCCGGGTCTTTGATTGTTCCATAGAATTTTTGGATTGCTTCTTCTATTTCATTGAAGAATGAGGTTGGGATATTGATAGGTATCGCATTGAATTTGTAGATTGCCTTTGGCAGTATTGCCATTTTCGTGATGTTGATCCTTCCAATCCAGGAGCATGCGAGGTTTTTCCACTTACTAAGTTCTGCTTTGATTTCCTTTTTAAGTTTTCATCGTAGAGGTCCTTCACTTCTTCAGTTAACTCCTAGGTATTTTATTTTGGGTGGGGCTATTACAAAAGGAGTTGCTTTCCTGATTTCAGCCGTGCTCTTCTAATTGTTGGCATATAGAAAAATCATTGATATTTGAGGGTTAATTTTATACCCTGCTACGTTGCCAAAGTTTCGGTTCAGCTTGTGTAATTTGGGAGTGGAGTCCGTGGGATTCTTTCAATACAAGATCATGTCATCTGCAAAGAGGGAGAATTTTACTTCATCATTCCCTATTTGGATCCCTTTATATTTATATCTTATTGTTGTGGCTAGGCATTCTAATACTAAATTGAAGAGAATGGAAGAGAGTGGACATCTTTATCTCATTCCTGTATTTAGAGGAAATTGTTTTAGCTTTCACCATTAAGGATAATGCTGGCTGTAGATTTGTCATACACAGCCTTTATTATATTGAGGAATGTTGCATGGATTCCTAGATTTTCCAAAGCTTTCATCATAAAAGGGTGTTGGATCTTGTCAAATGCTTTTTCTGCATCTATTGAGATAATCATGCAATTCGTATCCTTGCTCTTGTTGATGTGATGAATTATATTAAATGATTTGCATATATTGAACCAGCTTTGCATCCCTGAAATGAAAGCTGATGATTATGAAGTATGATTTTTGATGAGTTGTTAAAGTCGATTGGCAAAAATATTGTTGAAAAGTTTTGCATTGATGTTCATCAAAGAAATGGATCTATAGTTCTCTTTCTTTGTTGAGCCCCTGCCTGGTTTTGGGATGAAGATTTCAATGGCTTCATAGAGAGAGTCTGGCAGTGAACTTTCAATCTCATTGAAGAGTTGGAGGAGTATTGGTGTGAGTTATGCTTTGAAGGCCCTGTAGAATTCAGCTGTAAATCCATCCGGTCCAGGGCTTTTCTTGGGAGGGAGGTCTCTTATTGCTGTTTCTATTTAAGTGCTTGATATGGGTCTGTTAAGTTGTTTTAAATCATCTTGATTTAGTTTGGGCATGTCAATATTTGCTAGAAATTCGTCCCTTTCTTCCAGATTCTCAACCTTCTAAGCATAAAGGTTTGAGAAGTATTCACTTATAATGTTCTGAATCTTGGTTGTTTCTGAGGTGATGTTTCCATTCTCATCCCTGAGTTTATTTGGGTGTATTCTCTTCTCTTTGCTAATGGTCTGTTAATTTTTACAAAGAACCAACTCTTTGATTTGGTGATTCTTTTTTATGTTTTTTTTTGGACTCTAATTCACTTAATTCTGATTTAATTTAAATTATTTGTTTCCATTGAATGGATTGGGGTTTAGCTTGTTGGTCTTTTTCAAGGAACTTCAGGTACCACGTTAAGTTGTTGGTTTCAGAACACTCCAATTTCCTGATGTAGGAACTCAGAGCTATAAGCTTGCTTTTGAGTACTGCCTTTGTTGTGACACCCAGCGTACTTGGTAATTTCTGTGTTCACTTTTGTTAAATATCATGAACATTTGAATTTCCTTTCTAATCTCTTCCATGACCCATTGGTGGTTCAACAGGTATTGTTCAGCCTCCAAGTGTTACAGGATTTTCTTTGGCAGCTTTTGGTGTGGAATTCTAATTTGATTCCCTTGTGGTCTTAGAGAATGCAGGGCATAATGTCAATGTTTCTGAATTTGGACAAAATTGCTTTGTGACCTAAAATGTGTATTTTGGAAAATGTTCCATGTGCTGTTGAGAAGAACATGTATTCTTATGCTGCTGGGTGAAATATTCGGTAGATGTCTGTTAAAGTCTAGTTGATTCATGCAGTTGTTTAGATACAAGGTTTATCTGTTGAGTTTTTGCTGGGTTGATCCAGCTGGTGGGGATAATGGTGTGTTAAAGTTCCCAAAAATTAATGTCTTTGGATCTATGTGAACTTTCATGGACAGATGTGTTTCTTGGATAAATTTGGGTACTCCGTTGTTTGGTGACTAGATATTTAGAATTGTAATATCCTCCTGAAGAAGAGGTCTCTTAATTGCATGTAGTGACTCTCTTATATTTGTCACTAATTTTCATTTGAAGTTTATTTTATCTGATATTAGGATTGCAACTCCTGCCTGTTAATGAAGGCCATGTGATTGATAGATTTTATTCCAGCCTTGCACTTTCAGAATATGCGTGATTTTGTGGGTAAGGTGTGTCTCTTGAAGGCAGCAGATAGAAGGATCTTGGTTTTTAATCCAACTAGACAATCTAGTCACTTAATTAGAGAGTTAAGTCCATTAATATTGAGAGCTAGGACTGAGAGGTGCTCAGTAGCTCCTGCCATGTTATCTACTTTCTTGCGGGCTGTGCCAACTGGGTTCTACTTATGATTCTTGGATTCTCTATTTGGGGGATGTTTCTTGGCCTTTGTCATATTCGTGTTGGTTTTCTATGTGTAGGGAATTTTAAGTATCTTTTGTAGGGCAGGTTGGGTGCAGACATATTGTTTCAACTTTTCTTTGCTATGGAAGGTTTTGATTTGTCCTTCTGTTATGGAGGAGAGTTTAGCTGGGCACAGTATTCTTGGTTGATAGTTGTTTGTCTTTAGGGCATGGCATACATCATTCCAGGCTCTTCTTTCATTGTCTCTGCTGAAAAGGCTGAAGTTATTCTGATAGGTTTCACTTTATCTTTTCTCCCTGACAGCTTTAAGGATCCTTTCCTTGGTCTCATTTGATCCTGTGCGACTTACAATGTGATTGTGGGATGTCCTGTTCTGGTCTGGTCTATT